AARRSYTCMRRRGKSTMTWTTTGTTTAGGTACAATCATAGTTAACTATGGTACAATATAATTAATCTTTTAAATTGTTTCCTATCAGAAAAGGTGTACCTATTAGCACTGTAACAAGATATCCATGTAATCAATCCATGGAGTATGTCCTTCTTAAATTCATGGGAGCATCAAAAGTTGCTGCACAGGTAGGCTTGAGCTCTATGAAGCAATCATTGTATTTGACCAAAAAAGGGAYTATTTTCAAAAAGCTAGTGGTTAGTGAGTGAGTTCTGCAGGTTTGGGGTCAATATTTCAGCTGTGGCAATTGCATTGTGTCCAGATGAAGACGATTTTTAAAACTATTTACTGACTATATATTCAGAGGTTCTGACTCTCTAACAAACAGTTTGCTTTTGAAATTCTTTTCAGGCTATTGGTCACTGCAAGGGGACATTTGCGTATCCTTTAGTTTTTCTTGTATTTATGATCTGTTTTAGCTGTTTGTCCATGTATTCATTTAGCCATCTTTCCATCCATTTATCCATTCATCCCATTAGATATTTATTTCATCAGCCACCCAATCAATCATTCAAAAATATCTTTTTTAATTAAATACTTTTTTATTATGAACTTTAACTCATTAGATATCAGTCATGTGTGTGGTCAGTTAAATCATGGTTTTTTTATCACCTTCCATATTGCTGTTGCAGCAGCACTGAGCAGAATTTGGTGAGTCAAAAAATTCTGGTGTTGTCCTTTTTTGCATTAATATAATATAATCTCTTTATTTTCTTGTAAGTTTGAAATGACAAATTAGATAATGTGCTTTTGCTTAATTTAGGGTTCTTTTAAAAGATTTAATTCAGAATATTATTGAATGTTATGAAGTWCTTTATCCTTGGCTGGACATTGTTGATAAAACTGACAAGGTAAGTGTACTGCAGTACTTACATATATTGTTAATTAATTATTAATATTTATTGATCTAAAGTGTGTTTTCATAGCAGAATTCGAGTCAAACAGCTCTACCATCTTGCCTAAAGACCTGGCTAAGTGCTGACTTAGATGAATCTAATATTATTCATGATAAAAACAAGTAAGCTGTTTTTATATTGGTATGATTGCAATAATCATTAGATAGTTCTCACAACCCAAGCTTTGAAAAAGTAAACTTTGTGAATCATCTGTTAGCAAATAGTAGCAGATCCAGGGAAAACCTTGGATCCACCCATGGCATAAACTAAGTCATGAATCCAAAGTGTTCATTTATATACAGTGCATTTTTGCATTTAGTGATTCCAAGGCAGCATTTACTCCAAAAACATCAACTCTTCTTGACAAGCTATTTTCATTCACACCTCAGACTGAGAAACGTRAGTACTAAACATTGATRTAGTCAATCAGTTKTAAAGACATMAAGACAACAATAAAGTGCTCTGATATGGAGAAATAATTGTGTGATACTAATTTGTACTCTAGTTKGCCATTCATTGTAGAAATATTAAAGAAATGGTGTTGAACATCTTTCAGAATATCAAGATTCACCAAAGGATCTTCTTGATGGATCTATTCTTGTTCCTAGAAACATGGTAAATTCTTGTTTGTATTTCGATGCCATTATTGTTTATTTGAAGCAACAATTGTGAAATAAGATAAATTTTAAACCGTAAAAARTATGAGAAATGTCTTACTATAACTTGCTCATCTGAAGCAAGATGARTATGAATAAGAATGGGTATGCTTACCCTATATTTACAAATATATCAATAATGAGAATTAATGATATTAGTTTCAGGAATGCAACCCCACACACAGTGCATCTCCATCTGTCTCATCAAAAGCTACAAAGAAGCGGAAAGGCGGAGATATTGAGGGGTTTCCTGAAYGTAAAAAGCTATTTTTGGATTCGCCARAGACCAGTGCAAGAACTGAAGTGGCTTTGGAAGARAAGRGAAGTYATGTCGAATTAGCAAACAGTATCAGCGAAGAGACAATGTGGAACCACGTTCTTGATTCGAGCCGAACCGCATGTATACAACACAAAACCAAGCAAGGAAGTGAAGAAGAAAGGAAAAGGAAACTGTCTGTAGTACAGGGGACCAAAAATGGTTGTCAGGTCGATAGTGATGAAAAGATACAGAAACAATCGAAAAGGAAATCTAAGAAAAAGAGGAAAAACGACGATGAAACTATTGGTGGTAATGAAAAATCACTGAAAAAATCCAAAAAGAAATTTAAAAACCACAAGAAAAACGACGATGTAATTTCAGCTATACAGTCAAACGACATTTRTTTACATCCTCCAGTAAACTCTGGTAAGAAGAATGACAAACATTTTATTCAAGAGACCAAAAATGGGTTTCATTTTGACGGTGTTGATAACTCAATGAAACAATCTCCCAAGAAATTTAAAAAAGGCGAGAAAAACAACTGTAAATCTGCTGAGAAGACAGTACCAGTATTAAATATCCAAAGGAACTYGAGCAAAAAGAAAAACAAGAAGAAAATGAAAAGYAAAACTTCAAGTCCTTCTCCATTAGWKATTYTGGCGCTTGARCAAGACTCYCCGAAACAAAAGAAACTGAAGCTAAAGAAAAACAAAGCAGATAAAGACAGGGTTAAAACAAGTAGGAAAGAAGATGATTATTTTGATAATTTGTTTAGTGCCTTAGGTGTCTAATTTCACGAAATAGTGGATTGACTTTTTTATATTTCAGAAGACATGATTTCTCTGAGTATGAAGTTATTGAGACGCGCCTCGAGTACATATTTCCCTTGATACTTTATAATAGTTTCAATCTTGCACTAAAGAAATATTATGGTGCACATGTTTTAGTGTCATTCGCTATTATGTTGAGAAGTGCTGAACTGAGACGTGTTTGTATCAGACAGAAAGCCACATTGAACAAAACTGGACATCCTCAGTCATTAACATTACACGAACTTTATTTGAAATATGTTTATTTGAAACTAAATTTGAATCGCGTGTATGATTCTAATAATATACAAAAAAATAATAAATATTATATCCATAACGATATGACTTAACATTTTGTACAAATTTATAAATATATTCAATATTAACTTCGGCTGTAACTACATAAATATTCACAACTGCGAAAAGATGAGCTTGTCGTTTTACAACGTTAACCGCTCTTTGAAAAAAGTTTTTTTTTATCAGATTGGTTAAAAAAATAAAAGTTCTTGCTAAAAAAAGCTATTTGGTGTGGCATTGCATTCGCATAGAGTCGACACATTTAAACATTTAGCTGTGAAACTTAAAAGATAACAAAATATTTCTATATTATAGTAAATCCTTTGTTTCCTATTCTCTAAAGAACACTATTTTGCAATTTATTTCACGGATTTAGTGCGTCGACTCTATGTTTGCGATAAAAGTATTTAAAAAGCGCTAAAACACTTCAAAAATCAGTATAGTTGGAATCCTTTCAGTGGAAACCCAGGGGATGTTACTCAAGTGAAAGGAGCCGAAAGGGCTACGAGCCCCTTGGTTTCCTAGGATGGCAATTATAACCAGTAATTTAAAAATACGAAGTCAAAACTAAACTAGATATGAGAATGAATACATTAGGAAGCAAGGTGACGACCGAGCTTGTATCTGGCAAGATTTTACCACCAACATATTTCCCTTTCTCAGAACAAGCCATCCAATATCTCCCTATTGATCTCGGATATGGGGTTTCTCCTTTAGGAACCTCGGGTGCTTTCAATGTGTAGTCATCAATGGCTGTATATGTAGKGCCCTTGAAGAAATAGCTTTTCTTGTTTTCCCATTGGATCGCGGCATCAATGTTATCAGGGATWGCRCCTCTCCAGCCGTCAGCAATTTTTCTAGGGTAATCGAGGTCTAGCTTTCTCTGCTGAATGTCATAGCGCCAGTACTGGTCTCCTTTGAAGAAGTAAACCTTGCCATTTCTATTCCATTGAAAAGCAGCATCTGGACTGGCCAGTTCTTTGTTAAGGTTTAGTATGGGATCGGTGATTGGTAGAGCTTGACTTCTTAAGGCAGTTCGATCATCGAACATCCAAAATCTGTTTTAGAAATAAACGRTTAGTTTCAATGTTGAAAAACATTATCGATACTGATGGCGCGAACTTTTGGCGGGAAATTTGCATGACGGATTAGTTTTGATAACGTAACAAATAGAAATTTCCCWCTAAAATTAGCGAATTAATTAGGAAACTAGCTAATTCACTTGTTATTTTTCATTTTAGAATAAGGCTTTAACAGCAACTAAACAAAACAACAAACTTTAACTGTCGCTACTCACTTGTCTCCTTTGATGATATAAGTGACTTTATTGGAGCGATTGTAAAATGCAGCATCAATGTTATCTTCTAGTATAGAAGGCCAGTAATCTTTAATCTTAAGCGCGCTGGTCCATGCACCAAAGTCCGATCCTATAGGCCAGAAATACTGGCCCTTGAATGCGTAAGTGTATCCGTTCGATGACATAACAATGGCRTCCAATGATGATGAGCACTTGTCAGGAATGCCTGGTGCTTCGGTCTGTGTGTGGGGAGTGGGTGTGGCTGGTTCTGGAACRGGCGTGGTTGTCTTACCTGGAGCCGTGGGACGTCCTATAAGAATACAAAATCAATTGGRCATTTTAATACAATAATAAAAAACGAAAAATACGTTATTAACACAGAAAAATTAAATGAGAATTGAAATGATGAAAATGAAATAAATCACAGAACCACTTTCGTAATGATCAATAACATGTATTGCTTACCGTAGAGTTTTTGAATGCCATTGACGTCATCCCAATGCAATTTAAAGTTGGGGGTATACCCTCTGTAGTAGGGGTACATGATCGCATCGAGCTCATATGAGTGATCTAGTCCCAGGCTATGTCCAAACTCGTGTACAGCWACCCAGAACAGGTCGATGCCTGAGTGTGTTTTGAGGGTGAATAACTCGTGRTCATCAAAATGGGCGTCACCGTATATTTCTAAAAGAATTTGTGAAAAAAATGATTAGATTAAATGATAATGGACAAGCAGATTGCTGATTGACTGCCCTCTGATTCCAAACTAGCYTGCATAGCGGCCCTAAAGGTATTGGGAGGACCGAGTGGATCCCTACGTAGGCTATCTGATTCAGACAGACAGACCGATCGTTTGACTGACTTACCTTGTGAGTTATCTTGGGGGTAAAAAGCGTGAGCGAGKGTACCACCGGGTCCATCGAATGGGTAGCCATCATCATGTGCACCCGTGACAAACTTCACATTGATATCAGCTTTGGCGCTTTCCTCCGTAACTCTTGTAAACGTCAGCGTTGACACTTTGGCCCATTCGTTGAACGCCTCTTTGATGGCTTGGTCGATTTGTTGTTTTGTCAAATCAGGGCTGTAGTTGAGGATTTTGTAAGTCAAATCCTGAAGTGAAAGTATAATATTACTGATACGAACTCCAACTGACCATAGTTTCAAGATGGATAAAGAAAAAATGAAAAAAAATCGCTGGAGAATAAATAAGTGAATGATTGTGTTAAATGATTTTATAAATCAATAAATTAAGGAAGAAATAAATCATTACTGGTTGATTAATGAAAATAATTTAATACTCATGAAAATAATCAAGTGTTATATGTGACTGATGGCTATCGACACGTAACCCAACCCAGTATATTACAAATCATCAATTAGAAGTGTTAAGTTATTTCAATTTCCTGTCGATCAAAAGTCATTACCTTCTTTCTCCAGTAAGATCCTTGTAAAGCGTATCGTCGCTTTCTTTTTGCGTTGTCTGAGGGCCCAAAGTCAGGCATTTGACAACGAGGTGTTTCAAGGAGTTTCAGTAGATCAGGATCGTCAAGTTTGCCAGTCTCTTTTATGCCCCCCATTCGTTGTAATTTCTTGACAGCTAGGACTAGTTGGTCGTGGGATCGTAATTCTCCTTTGGTCGGGTCAATTGCTTTTAGATAACCAAATTGTTCAAGATAACTCTGAAATATAGATAATAAAGATATAGATATATGTTAAATTTTCGAGAACAGCATATATATTCAAGAATGTGAAAGAATTTGAAACTATATTTAGTTTCAGCTATGAGCGGAACTTTAACTTCTACAACTTGTGGAGATGTGTGAAGATGATATTCTTGATAAATAAGCTATAGTCATTTTTTGCTTATAAGTATCTGACTAACTAATGGCAATAACTACTTTCTTACGAAAAAAAGAAATACGATAAAATAAGGTTTCTCAAAGTATTGTGACAAAGGACGTCAGCGAATTTTGAACACTATGATAATTATTAGCTTGCATTTCAAGGTCCGCAAAACTCAGCGTAATRAAAAAAAGCTTATAAACTTACCACAACTTGAGAGGGGTTTGCTTTACTCTCAACCAAATTTGCAAAGTATATGCAGCTTAAAATAAGAACAGAAATCTTCGCCAGTACGCTCATCTTCTCCAATAAATATGAAGTTCTTTGAACTATTGCTCTTGCCGAGTTTGAGTTTCGTTTGAGCTAGTGTTAGCCTAGAATCCGTTTATATAAGGTTTTTTCAACTTCCCATTTGCATATATTGACGTAAGTGGCGGTAGGAGCGGTCATGTCCAGGGTGTTCCAYCACCTCGTTCACTTCCGTCACGTCGACACTCTACACGTGCCCCATAAATGGACAGCTTGAAGTGTTTTTGTGTGAAAACAAGATACAAGGTGAAAAAACGTACTTCCGATTGATGAAAAAAGCAAAATTTCCACTAAACGTGACATGATCCAAGAGTTTTATTAAGGAGGCTAAACGTTCATGCTTTGAAAAGAGGAAGAAAGTAGCGGTTTGTACGAGTTCTGTGGTCAAATGAAGTTTAACCAAATGCACATAGCTGTCGGTTACGTCGTGCTTACGTGTCACGGAACAACATTACGTAACGAGTTACGCAAATTTCAAAATTGTTTATTTATTCAGAGTAAAATTTTCGAATAGTTTTTCAACTAGAGTTAGAATGTGTTTATTTTTATAAGTTTTTTTTAATAAGTCTAATGCATCATTGAACTTGACAATAATTTGACATATCCTTCCTTATTCTAATTGATAGATGACCTTGCTGTTTTTTCCCTCTGATAACATTCCTTAACTTCAAATGCAATAAACGTTTCGAGTACGTCGAATTCTCTTATATTTGAATTCAAAGATGAAAATTATCAGGCTTAAGCATTCTTTATTGTGAATTAATTTTATGGAAATTTCAATATACAGAACATAGTTGACAAAAGATTGTGAAACCCTTTAGGTATTGTGAACAAAGCAGTCGGTCGCCATTTCTGACGCATTCTTCATGTCGGCTATAATTGAAAACAAATTCAAGTGTTTGTTTACTYAAAACTAATCAAAACCTGCGTGAGTCAAACTGTTTGACCCAGCCCTACCTARTGATGGACGGCATGAATGCATAAACTACATGCCACGAATCATTAAACGTTCAAACAGGAGTTGCAACACTGAGAAAAACATTCCTTTTGTGGAAAAGCGTCTTAATGTATTCATTGTTACATGTGTTTGCAATATTTCGGTTTTACTTCAAACRATTGTTAAGCTAAACTAATTACGTGAAAACGAAATGTTGCACAACTCGTACTGCGCATCGCGCACGTTGTACTCATTTAAAGTAATGCGCTGACAATGACCTCGTACTTGTGTAGATATTGTCCTTTCCATGTGTTATTCGACCTTGCCGCAGGCAATAAACAAGAAGCAAGCAGAAATTTTTTGTTCAAACAAACCACACAAACACAAACAAAAAGTTCAATGTTTTACGTCACTTAGAAAAATTATGSAGTTAAGTTAGATTTGTTGCTCAACATTCCAATAACCCCAAGTTAACCATCAATCGACACAATCTAATAACTGGCTCTAATGCTACATCTCAAACTGTGCATCATTACACAATCTGGATCATTTGAGAATCTTCCAACGTGTTCTTCAGTGAGTTTTTCATGSCATGACGTAGCTGTGATGTCATACTACGTCACCAACTCAAATCACACAGGAACACAGCGGCAATCTTCCGAAAGTCAGGTAGAAAAAAACACGTGCGCAGTGAGTAAGGTACACAGCAGACGTAGAGGAATTCTAGTTAATATTTTGCGCAAGAAAGTCTGCAACATCAGCAATATACCCTGGGAATCCCCTCTTGGACACATTACTAACGCTACCTAACCACACCCCTTAAAGCGTGGGGATTACCCAGAAGCCAATTTAGTGATTACCCAGAATCCCCGGTGCATTTGACTATCTTATCCTAGAAACCTATCTTTAAACAGCTGGAGTACTTGCTGTCGTTTTRCAATGTAAACATTTTATCGCATATTTTTGTTAGCAATGWACAWTCTGTTCGGTTGAAGTGATGAGCAATCATTGACAGCTATAAAGTAGCCCGCGATAAAGATAATACTGAGCAAAAGCCCGTGAGGTAATCATAAAATCAATGATTTTGTCCCTCAAGGGTTGTCTGAATTGATCTTGGACTGGGGCGTGCTCACCTGTCCTACTTCAGACTCTGTGTCTCTTAAGGTGGACGATTCAAAAAATATGCCATGAATGCGTGCATGGTAAACTTAATCAAAATGGTATAGAAAGTCAGTTCAGTATACTTAAGACAACAATTAATAGTTTTCTCTGACTAATGAACTAGTATACTACACTCATCTCGTTTCAATAATCGAATCATGATAATGCTGCTCAATATAAAAAATTGTCTAGTAATGCTTAGATTTTGGAGTCAAACAGGAAAACATGAAGACTCAACAACTCAAAAACTTCCTGCACTTTTAATTCAAGTACTAACAGCACTTGTGAGGAAAGAAACTATTCAAAGCGTCAAACTTTAGACCCCACTGACCTAGTTTAYATGTGAATTGTACTGAGAAATTCTTTCTACAAGTACCGTCCTACATCGCAGGGAGAACGATATMGAGCTAGAGMGCCRTGARCCTTTTAAAACGCTTGATTTAWCCCAGTGTAATTAAGTTTGTAGTTAGGTGTGGTCAATTAGTTTCACAGTGTTTTCCACAAAGGTAAATAAAATATTATTATTAATCACTGAAATGTTAAGTAACAGTAATACTTTGTTTACCACAACACAAGAAGTTTGGGTGGGATAGTATCTTTAGGTCATGCTAAAGGAATCTCGGCTCTAAAAGTGAAGGAAGTAAAAATCAACTTGACATTGAACTTGTGTTCTATCAGAATTACAAGTAAAACGTTTATTATAAAGCGTTTTGGAGTGTCTTTGTCATATTGTACCGCATTTTTTTATGTTATAGATGTTTGAATATTAAGATACGAGGCTATAGGCTGATGTAATAATAAAACTGGCAGACCTATTCTTTATATTGAGTRAAATGCCCACAACTTATACAATACATTGTATACATTCTAAACCGCAGATTGATAAACCGACAGCTATGCAGAAGRCTAAACTTGACGAAAAAAACCTTTTTCTTACACGCAAAATTTTCATACCGCTAATGATAACATTTAACACACGCCGGTTTATAGATATGTATACTTTTAAAAAGGAAAAACCATCTGTGTCAGATAAAAAAACTAGTTCAGCCCTTTTATCAGTTGGTGTGTCGGTGCTACACGCTTGAACACTCTTTGACGAGTTTTTCCGCTTRACTCTCGTATCACGCAAGCGGTTTAYAAGGGTATCCCCCCTACACGCAGACCCGGCCAAGTCATGTGAGCTCCACGCTGACTGGAAGGTAGTCAAAACGACCACTGAAATATCAACCACAGGGCAATTGTATTTCCATGTTTGGTTGTATCATAGGTTCATAGCAACAATGATTGAAATCTTGCAATGTTAGTACTAAAAAAACCCCAAACTGACTTAAATTACGAATTTTAAAATGATACAATAAATGGAATAAAAAAGCTTTTATTTAATCAATTTCTGTCCCACTTTGAATATCCTAGTTTCAATAGAAGGTTGTGACCCTACTTTCTAATTGTAACATTTTTCAACCATTGAAACTGAGTACATTTGTGTGAATCACCAGAGTGCTTTTCTAATGTGGTGAAGTATCAATATCAAAAGGTCTATTAATTGTATTCTCATTGATTTTTTTCTTTTTTTACTATCAAAGTGCAATAAAATACAATGCAAAAGACATGTCTTTCAGTTCCGTGCTGTCTCAACTGGATATTATTACCTCAAAATAATATTAATGGCTGACAAACTGAAAGTACTATTCCCACAACAAGAAACCACGTAACGTTTAACAAAATGTTGTTACTATTTAAAGCTAGGAAAAAGCTTACACTGGGTGTGTTGAATACAGTACTCAAACATAACGGAAGYTACAACTGCKGTCGCTGGACGTTATCTCCGCTTCGCGCKGCTTAGCTTCATGGAAACACTATCACTAGCATGATTATATTAAGCCTATCTATAGCAAGCTAGATAAAGGATTTAACTTTAATCTGACTTGTTTATATCGGGTTATTTKAACTAAAGTTCATGATACCTGCGACCTTACTTTCAACATATCAACCCGCGCTATTGTTATCTAGTGACTTGTTCGCGGGACATGACCCGTATCCCGCAATTTTCGGGATCCTTGTTGAGTCAACCACTTAGATATTTCGCATTATAAATCTTGACTTCGCATTTTTTTTAACGCTGTAATAATTGGTGGAAATCAAAGTTGACCACATCTAGTCATGTTTCTTGTTGTGTGGTTTTTCGCGGTATTGCACTCAAATCACAGTAATTACGSTTTAATGTCTGCCGGAAGTAATATATGAGGAAAAAAAAATGCGAATGCTTGAGATTCTTTCGGTCCTTTCTGGAAGATTTCGAAATAAGTTCACAAAAGGACTCGAAGTTGCTTCATGTCCTTTGTGACATCGCGGTAATACGTGACACAAAGCGAACGTGACGTTGAACCTACGTGACGTAAACGCAGCCTATAATCCTAATATGGACATGTCAATTGCTCACCGACTTTCAAATGCGCCGGAAGCGAGAGTGTCAGCCATCAACAAAGAGCACGACCCTCGATGCAGCTCATCATCCGGTTACTGCTATTGTATGTGACGTAGAACGYAGGAATCAGCTAAACAATCAAATTACGAACATACAGTTTGCATTAGACTATATAAGAGCGAGTGTTTGCCGTGCCTTGACACTCAGAACACATCACCCAACACAGAGAAACCGATCGATAGAGAAGATTACATAGAAGAAGATACGCCTATAGCCAACAATGAATCTTKCCAGCCTGCTGAGAATTTCTCTAACGGCGATAATATACCAYKGGTTTCTGGATTTTTCCTCTGGTGCACCGATGGTCAACCCAAAAACAGTTTCCAATGGAATTGTAAGTAGAAATGTTKGTATTTGGTTCATGGAATCCCGCTGCGTTCACGAAAAACATTTTAATTACAATATTTAGTTACTTTTTTCTATACATTCTGCATGTTTTCCCCCTAAATTCCCTTGAATTGAATCAGYGAAAGCGAGCTGTCAGTGGAGTATTTGAAAGTATCAAGCAACATTTCAAGTGGTGTTTTGTCAGCATAACATTTTTCATAGAATTTGAGACGTTTTTTACCGGCAAAAGTTGATTTTTTTTATGCGAAGGAACTCCATTAGTATAAACCTCGACATGTATTTTATTCTGTCTGATATCAATTCAACTGCCAATTAATGCTATGACTAATTGACCACAACTCGGTTGAGTTCGCGGATTTTTACCCGACTAAAAGAAATTCCAGCAATTACTTTTTGGTACCAAAATTTATAATTGAATTTTYATGTTCGAAGTCGAAGACATRAGCGGAAGACGCTTATAATTAAGGAGTTTTCTCTCACTTTATCGCATSGAAATACTGTTTATATATCCTATTATTTACTAAGAAAATTTGGCAAATTGGTGTAGTAACAAAATACTTTATTTATATAGTCTAAAATGCTCAGAAAATCAATGTTCTGTTTTGGCGATCAGCCTTAGTTGGAGTGCAATCTGCTTCGACAYCCATGTCTATGAATAAAAACATGCTAAAAAGACGAATAATTATGTAAAAATGTGAAATCCTAGGATTACGGATATTGCTTAAAGAAATAAGATTCTTGTGAAGGAAATAACTTCAACTCATGTCACACAGAACATGGATCGTAATCGTGRATGCCCAATGACACATCAAAACCCGCAAATGCCACAAAATTACACCGACCATTTGTCATTCGCATACGTGATTAAAAATCATTTAATATCGCAAATATTTTAATAAAAGCTTAGATTAAGACCTTTGTCGGAGACTAGATGTAAAATTTAATTCTCTGGTATCTGATTGGAGGGCTACCGCGGCTGCATATTATGACTACATTAAGCATGTCTTATCTAGTAAGACCACGGTTCTCCAAAGTTCCCGATGATCTTGGGTCAAGTCTAACGCCATGCCGGCAAAAAGCCAGGGTTTTAGTCAGATTAAAAAGCCTGTCACCCACATAGGTTGTATCAATAAAGTCTCGTGACTCGTTAAGGGGTTTCATGTATCAATTGCTTGCCTTTTATGGAATCAACAGTATTGGCTCGCTTAGTGCTCTCAAGGCCCTTGAGTTCATGATTGAAACAACTCATGGATGTGAGTGGTGTGTGTATGCCAGATGGAATCGTATAGTGAAGTTAATGAATTTGCATGATATGCATGGGTTGATCGGGGACACGCCCATCTCTGATAACCTCTCGGGCACTTTTAGGCAATCAATGTAGCACGATTCTTATATTGTAGAACACTAGGCCAATGCAACAAAATAAACATAAATAGAAAATCAGAAAAAAAGATGCCATACGAGTTTTTTAGTATTGATAAATTGTTTTATTGCGAACAATACCCGGATGTTTCTAGCAGACGAATTCAAATTCAGTAAAATGTTCATTTTGTTTTTGTTTTTCCAAATAGCAAATGTATCTTATTTTTTTGGTATAAAAGTCGTTTTCTTACAATTGAAACTATTAGTTATTAAAATGCTTTTGTTTTTATCTAGGATTATTTAGCAAAGTATGGATATCTGGTACGAAAGGACCCCAAACAAGGTCAAATGATGAGTCAACTGATGTTAACAAGTGGTATCGAGTCGCTACAAGCATTTGCTGGCTTGAATGTAACTGGTAAATTTGATGCCGCAACTATCAAACTTATGGGYACCCCAAGGTGTGGTATGCCWGATCAAAGCCCKGCAGACAAGGCTAGAAGAAAACGACGTTATACACTCCACGGGACTTACTGGAAGAAAAAGGTACGATATATWTGCTATTATATCCCTGTGACTCCGACCTGGCGCAAACGTTGCGTTACTTCGTMGTAATTATTCATTATCAAAGAGTATTTTGCAACTTTTCACTTTCATACTGGACAGGAAGTTGTTTTTGTCGTTTCTGTCTTTCTATTGTCAGACAAAAAGTTTCTTATTACCATATAACACGTCAAGTCCGATTCAGACACCAAATCCCTCATGTGTAGTATTCAATGCAAATAAGTGAAATAGAAAAGCGCAAAAAGAGTCTTGAGTAATTTGAATTGAATTCGGCACATGTGAAACGGGGCGAGCATGAATAGTTTAGACGAAATGATGTATRACTAATATATTTATTTTACAGGACATAACGTATAGAATCAAGGGATGGACGAGTGACGTTCCCATGGAAAACCAAAGAAAGATCTATAAGTGGGCTTTTGAACAGTGGTCTAAAGTCAGYAAAATCACAATCACAGAGGCTCCTAAGAGTCTGTCCGATGACCAAGTAGAAATTTTGATTGACTGGAGGCGTTATGACCACGGCGATGGCTATCCGTTCGACGGKCGGGGTGGTACCTTGGCTCATGCATTCTATCCTCTCAATAATAAAGGTAAAGATTCTATTGTTGAATGGGTGAGAACAGGGGTTTTTTATTGCTGAATGGGGGAGGACAGGGGGTTTCTATTGCTGAAGGGGGGAGGACAGGGGGTTTCTATTGCTGAAGGGGGGGGGAGGACAGGGGTTTCTATTGCTGAAGTGGGCGAGGAAATACAATGGGTGAACCAATGTAAAATCTCACCATTTATTTTCCCGCCATTAGGAATTTCCGGCGATGCACATTTCGACGATGATGAATGGTATACAGTTGGTAAACCTGATGGTATCAACCTTGATTGGGTCGCTCTTCACGAGTTTGGCCACAGCCTTGGCATAGACCACTCCACAGTTCGTGGTTCGATCATGTTCCCATGGTATCAGGGTTACAAAAAAGACATTAAACTTACCTCAGAYGACATCATGGCAATTCAGGGGATTTACGGTAAGAGACGGCTTGACTGACTGACCTGCGGCGAAGTAGGAAGGAAGGAGTCAGTTTCTTGTGGGAAAATAGAACAATTAGTCAATAATTTCCTTTGGTTGCGAAGTGAACTTTTAACTGAAAAATGTGTACGGAAATACAGTAATTTGGCACTGTTTTGTTTATAATTTTTGTGTGAAAGTTAGTGTGAACAAAGAAGGGTTTCCTTTTTGGGGGTGGAGAATTAACATTATACAAAATGTGGACCGAGAAGTGTTTATTTTTCGACCTGGCTCCAAACTCGATCTTTATTTACCATCGAAAATACTATCAAGAAAACTGAATGACTTGAGCCTTACAAAATGAACTTCATTTTGTTCATTATCGAATGTACTGCGTAACTACAGTTACTCATATATTTTTTTTCTCGCGTTTCTATAGGTAAACGAAGAGGTATCGTTAGACCAACAAGACCTCCAGCAACAGTGGATCCATCAGGCCCACAACCAACCCAAAGGCCAACAGTTGACGAGTGTCTTGCTGACCATTACGATGATTGGCTGTACGACCCACGTGAAGAGAAGACTTACGCTTTCAAAGGCGATTACTACTTTGTTGTCAATCCCCACACTGTTGGTGTGATGGATGGACCTTTGAAAATCGCTGATAAATGGAAGGGTGTCGCTACACCGATAGACGCCGTCTATAGACGCCTTGATGGAGTTATTGTATTCTTCAAGGGTGACAAGTAAGTATATTCTTCTTTGTGCTTTCTTCTTTCCTTCTTATTTCTTTCCCATCCATCCAGTTTATTCATTAGTCCGTTATCCATCTTTCATTTATTTTCCGATTCATTCATCCAATTATTCTTTCATTCTTTATTTATTTCTTTATTTTTTTTGCTGATATTTAAATAAAAAGAACAAAATCTGACATTTTTTGTTATATTTAGATACTGGAAATATTACTACGACCGCCTTATGGGAGCCCCCAGACATATTTCCAACTATAGACTTCCTGATGCACTAAAGAACATGGACAGTGTCTTTGTGTGGGGCCGAAATCAGAAGACCTACTTTGTGAAAGGGAACCARTACTGGAGGTACAACGAGCGCCGCCGCACAGTCGATTATGGTTACCCAAGGAGCCTATCCGTGTGGAAAGGTATCCCGGGAAATGTTGACGCAGTGATGAAATGGAAAAATGGAAAGACCTATTTCTTTAAAGGAAGACAATATTTCAAACTGGATGATTATTCGATAACTGCYGARGCTGGTTAYCCAAAGAGTACCGCAATCAAATGGATGAGATGTGAAACAAGTCGTCTTGCAATTAAAACCACCTCGATCAACCCAACTGGTAACAACACTGTTGAGGCTARCAATGACAAATCGTCAGGTACAGCGGTTCTACCCACTCTCATCATGCTCATTGTCAGCGCTTTGACTGCTGGGAAATTATTCTARTTAAAGAAACTATTCAGAAAACGTATTAGGTTATATGAAAATTAAAAGCTGTTCGTATCTTCAGTTTTTTTTTTCTGCCAAAAAGAACAAGAAATACTAAAACAAACTATTTCTGATTAAGAATCTGCCGACTATTTATTGCTTCTCTTTTGAACATTTTACGTTTTCAACTTTTGAGTTGTAAATTATGCTGAAGTTTGTGAAAGYCAAAGTTGTACATTTTTATCAATCAATTTTATAGATACATTATATATATAACTCGTGCCTAGGRCTCTCAACGCTAAGAACCGAGATGCCTGGGTATTAGGTCCTGATGATTCTAAAATTTATATGATTATATAACCTTAGATTTTGCAAGTGTAATTAATAGAAAAAATATATAGTATTTTTTGAAAAAAAAAAGTTACTGTGTAACACTTTGTAAAGTTCCAAGTTATTGTAATATTAATTTATTGTTGTATTTATTATGAATGAAAWTAAACGCTTGACATTTTTAAAAAGATCTTGACTGTTGGTTTTTTTATTGAGTTCAGTTTGCTCTGAACTCTTCAGTGTAGTGTACAGTAGATGGGAGAGAAACCACGATAGACAGAAAATATAAAAAAATTGCAAAGACGCTCCACTTCAAATCAGTAAAAAAGTCCCGAACCTCTGACACATGCAATCACTATAAAAAAATTCATAAGTCTTCGACAGATTCGACGGATTTGTCTTAAACTTGACGATTTTACTTATTTAGCGCTGTGATTTTCAGACACAGACTTTCACAGCCTTTTACGAGACATAGTGCAAAGCGCAAAGTAGACTATGATACGACTCGCATCCTCAAGAATGAATAGTGCGAATGTTATTCCGCACTTAAACTCATAACACATCGGTCAGTCTTTGTAAATAGTTTGCATACAAATAACAAAGATCTTCCGTTATCATTTCAAGCCAAAAAAGCCGCAATGTTCAAACTAAAGGGCACGTAGGACCTCCCGTGAGTACCAAGTATTTCATATTACATTTTATAGCGGTGCATTACCGATCAGGAAATCGACGGTAATTATTCTAATCTGCTTMTATTGATGGTAATGAGTAATTAATGTAGAGAGTGATGAAAGAGTACTTATGRTGGCCAGACAGATTTCTTGCTTTTGCTAATGTTTGTAAAACAGTCGACATTAATATGGTAGTTCCTTTATGTTCATTGATAGTTTTGTTACTGAATGCCGAATTACTAGGACAAGAGAATTACGTATTATTAACTTTAAGACAGATTAACTCATTGGTACCAATTAAACGTTTTCATTTTGAATCAAAAAAGGTGTGTCATTTACGCAACTAATAGCCGCACATTTCAKTATGATGATAATTGTTTTCAATGGTTTATAGTTTTCTTTGAGTTAATTCACCGCAAGATGACGTCAACACTATCAAGATCTGCCCATAGTGGGTTCGCAAGGCRAAGCCGAGCGCRCAATTAGAAAACATAGCTRAACCCCAAGTSGAATATRGATATCTCCTATGTACTCCTATTCCCAGCACCATTTGTGACTTATTTACTCCGAGTTTTTCTCCAGACRCTGTGRTGCTTCTCTCGTAATTCCTTCAAGCTGTCCACTTTYAGATTTTTCTTGTCACAATAATCGTACCCACAAAAACTAGTGTGAGYTAAATAGAACTTWARAAAATGCCGTTYAACGTTTGTGGTGGSWGAAGTTGGGAACAATCAATCATTTGTAGCGGTTTAGTTTGTAAACAATTGTAAAATTCAATCAAATGAGGTTATCCTACAGCTGGACACAGGTTCACATAAACAGCTCAACGCGAAGCCAGGTCAACCGGTTAATAAGGGCAATGTGGTTCACCTTACATAGAATAGTGTGGGAAAAGCAASAGAAATCACGTAACGATATCTTATTAACTAGACTTTATTCTTTATCTTATTGMCTTTAAACAGCGTCTTGTCGACAACTCTTTAACCCTTTTACTGGTCTGGCCCAAAGGGCATTCGCCATATGCTGTCTTCCTTCCATTAAGCCATTACCGTTTTAAGAATGTTCAATGTTCTTTACAAAAATCTCTGCAATAATACTTTATAATAACATTTGTAATACTCGTAAGGCAATACATAATCTTCTAGTACATAATTGGTTTTAGTAATCCTTGCTTTTATTGCGGTGGGACYGAGTGGTGCCTCAGGGCGAAGAGCCTAACTATCTCAAGGAGACACAAGAGATACCGCAAACATRCAGCACTAAGGKCTAACGTTATTATATCCAAATRCGTAATCACATCTTAYGCGGACAAAAGACAGTTTCCAATCCTGTTTTATTGTCCCAYTGTTCAAGTAGAACTGTCACGTGACTAGGAACRTATACTTTTAACTCCTCTAACTGCCAAAGTTTTACAAATTCTTGRTTTCTGTCGATAAATTAAGAATTTCCGCTACCAATTCGTAAGGAACGCAAAGCTGCTCGATGTGGTAGTCGGTAATAATGCTTGCTGGAAAGGAAAACCAAAATATCGTTGGTGAGTGAAGGACAACTAGTAATTCAAATAGTGCTGCCAAATATCTTGTRGTGTGGGAAATTCCAATAAAATGATTATAACAAAATGTAAACCAGGACAAGTAATAAATACAATATGGACATAGAATAATGTAACGCAGAGTAACGCAACAAAACAAATCAAAATGTAATGCAATATCATGTAACGCAATAACGTTTAACACAGTGATGCATGCCAGATACAACCAGGTAAAAGGTTGTTWGGGCTTCCTGTATAAGTAAAGTGGAGAAGGATAGGGCAAATTGAGGGGACTGATTGCTTCCAATCCCCTCACGGGCAGAACTGACACAGGTATCCCAACAAAATCGTCATAAACAAACCTCATCCTGTCTTTCATCATGTATGTCTTCATTATACAAATGTTCCTTCAGTAATCTTTCTTCTTCTCTTCTCTTTGATGAAGATGGCTCACTTCCATCGGATGAACCAAGACTACCTTTACTACTGTGAATACTGCTGTCTTTACTTGTGGCTTGTTCACCATCGATATCCAAAAACTCCTTCCTGGTCAATGGGTCTGATCCTTGTGTACTGGCTGTTCTACTGGAATTCTTGGATTCACTGCTGTCGACAAGTGGGAACTTTTTCCTCACTTTAAATTGTGGCAATGGATTGTGTATAGCTCTTTCTTCTTGCTCTGTAACTTTTTTGATATTTTCTTCTAATTCACCTTCGTCTAAGATTCTTAAATCCTCTTGGCTCTGAAAATAGTAACATAGATAATATGAATGACGTTGGAAAACTTCAAGTGCAACCACAAGACAAATCATGGTAAACACTGCATTATTTTACCCGAGTTGACCATGACCAAGGAGAAGAAAACTGATCCCTTGAATGAAGCTCCTAAAAACAACAAAATTTAGCCTTAATATTATTGGGGAAWATAAGCTTTGAAAAACATACACTTTGAATCTTCATAGCTTGTTGTCAGCCTACAGTTTGACATAAGGCTAAATATAAAAGTTGTCAGGTTCAAAATGGCTACATCATGTAGATGTGTTTTTGTACCCTATGTTTTTTCAATATCAGGGGCCAGTTGTATGAAAAGTTAATAATGTTATCCACCAATTAAAGTTATCCATTCCTTAGATTTTCAATGGGATTTTATCTGCTTGATAAGTGTTTTAGCCATTGGATATTTCTATTCACTCTTTGTACAACCACCAGTGCCAGACATAAAAAAATATTAGTACAAAAACATTAATAGTTTGGTTACACAATATTGGTTATTTTAAGCAAGTACTACATTTTAATGTAAAAATAATAATAATAATAAATAAAAATAACCAGAGTATTAAACAGAAAAAAAAAATATTATGGTTGTCATCCCCCAACATCTGTTAGAGATAGAGGTGTCTACAAGGTTTTCTCTGTGCTCTAAGCCCTGTAAGTTCTCATCATTGRCAAAGCTGAAGTAAATGCAAGACTATAAACAGTTTTTTAAACACTCAGTCATTTCCAACATTGTACTGTGTTATATTGTTTCCTAAAAGGAATGTTACTTAAGGCCTAAATACTGATAAGAAATTTTTTATAGCGTTTTTAGGGCTATATTATACTTATCAATCTATAGCACTTGTCTGGAATCAAGCACACACCAGACAAATAGAAACACGATGGCGTGGAAAACAAAAGCTCTTTTCAGGAGTATTATTTTGAAGTTTCATTGCTCAAAAAGTATTTTTAGATTCACAAAAAGAAAGAAATAAGTCATGATGTTTAAATATATAAATYATTAGTAATATTTATAATCCTTAAGATTGTAAAAACATTAAAAAGGTCTTTAATAATATATTTCTGACGTAAACATTAAAATATTAATCAAATATTTTTGAAAAAAAACACAGGTTGAAGATAGAAGTGTGTTGTGGTTTTACTATAGTCATAATAGATCATATATCATATTGGACAATCTTTTTTGGTGTATCATAAAAGRCAACAAAGGATTTTTACATGCTCGTAGCTTTGGGACTATTTCATACTAACTTCTGAACAATAACAGCCTACRCTTTACCAAATGTGGCATAATGATAATGACTATAAATAGCAATATTGCTGGTGACCACTATGGAATGTTTTGCTTGTAAAATACATGGGATGTTTATAAGAAAAAAACACTACACGTGGAGATACATGTGTATGGCATTGTTTCAAAGTTGTAGTCCAGTGATTCTGGCATGGCTGACTAAACAGCATGCTTTCTGTGAAAGGGTTAAAAAAATTGGATCATTTGTTTCACTTGCCTCATCACAGAAATCATTTAGCACAACATACTAAGAATAAGATCARTGACAAAGATTAGGATCATTTTAATCTAAAGAAACACTTACTGGTTATTAAGATTCAATGATACAATTAAGGAAAACGAACACCGAATTAACAAAATCCACAAACTTTATAAAGATTATAATGTGGATGTGCCTACTMTTTGAAAATGCTTAGAAACAAAGCTTTCAAAGTCAGAAATCAAGATTTTTAGTGATTCAAGTTTTATGAACATCAATAGTCTCTCAATATGGTTGATTTGCATTGTGATGAATATATAATTTTGTTGCAAACCACAGATTCTWTACAAACAAAAACAGCACATTTAATACAGAATGTGCTAACAAATCAAAAACCCACAAAAATACCAACATTTTCTTGATCTGATGTCGGTACTGGAASAYAATCTTTTGAWGMAAAAASATTAATTCTCTCTTGACAACTCAACTTAATAACAATTACCATCAAACGTGAGCAGCATTGCAATTAAATTCTTTTCAATATCATTTCAACTAGAATGAAACTTGTATAAACTAAGCCTTTGTTTTGACAAGGGATTACCACTTAAATTGTATAACTTCAAGTAGTGTTTGCAAGACTACTTCATTGGTAAGTTGATGTTTACACTTTCAAAATAATATTTCTTGAGAAAGACTCCTTTGGCAATAAACATCTTGTGCATTTAGAGTAATTATTAGTATAGAGGCATACGCCCTATAGTATACCAGCTAGTATTAGGCCTATAACGTTTGAATAAAGATCTTTATATGATATCACCTAACAAATGGGTGACAAAAAATTTCTCAGAATTGGTCACAATTGAAGAGTCTAACAGCTCAAACCAAATCTGTGACAGCGATTAATTAAACATCGCCAAAAGCAGCAAATACTCCAAAAGGGATAAAAAAACCTCATGCAATTAATATTTCACAGAAAGAGTTGTAGATATTGAAGGCTCYTTGGAGGAGTTGTTTAGTAAGACTGGATGKGGATAGATCTAAATGAATCAATGAAAGATAATAACTCAAGAAATTACAGTGTTTGTATTAGTTGTCGGGTGGAACTAGACGCTTTGCTAATACAATATTCATTAAATCAGGTGTCCACAGGCTTCATTTGCCAAAAAACTTAASTTATGAGTTTCAACAAGCCATTCGCGTGTRAAATTTTGTAATCAGCCTTGCGACAATAAACTTGAATTGYCMAAACACGTGGAAAAAATATATAACAGCTCCTGAATACAGAGCTTTAAATTTAAGTGTGGATTAAAAGCGTACCTGGAATGTAACAGAGGCTATGCTGTCCCTGGGATTGTTCAGTCGGTCTGAATCTGACAGCCCGTGAGCCAACTTCAACACTGGAAACCATTCAGGTTTTGAATCAAATCTTCTCTCTCCGTACTTYTTCCGTATATTTGGGTCGACAATTTTATCGTCTATAAGTCTATCTTGCTGTTCAGGGCTAAGATTACACCATTTTTCTTTGTTTTCTTCAATAACTTGACGGTGTTCAGCGATAATGCGTCGGCTCATACTATTCAGTGACTCAAAATACGACATGACATATTCATTCATATCCTGGACTTCTTGTCCCTCGATGCTTTTGTTCTTTGGTGTAAAGTCGCATCGTTCCATGATGATTTTGTCATCACTAGTAGAGAGGCATCCTTTAGTTAAGTCTGCCGCAATTTGGTCCAGTTCTTGGAGCTCGACTTCCGTCGCCGCCATGTTTTTACTTCTTTGTTGCTAGACCATCATGCAGCATTCAAAAAAACAACAATATAACAGCGATTCTGATTGGACAGCGAGTATAATAGCGACCAATCGGCGATCACACGAGTGAAAATAACATTATAAAACCAAACACAGTTCTTAAAAAGATCAAATGATTTTTGCACCTTTCAAACTTTTATAAAGAAACAGACGACAATAAACCATTGATTCGTAACCTTTCTCGACCAATTAAAATACTTGTTCTATAAAAGGACGTCAAAACAACCAATCACGAAACATGACTTGATAGGATGACTGACACGCATTTATTGAGCTGAAGTTCATCCAAGTTTCGACAGCTGATAGTAATACTTCAGCTATGGAAGGGAGCGAAGACGACGAAAAAGCTCACAAGAAACCGAGAAAAACTCTTCAGGCTAAAGACAAGRGTTACCATTTCAACTCATCTGTTGTAATAGTCAGTCTGTCATTCTTGGTTGCGGTTGCTAGTATCGTGGTCTACCTGATCGGGTTTGACCTCATCTTGCAATATTTCCAACATCAAAGAAGCTTCTACGACTCGTATTACGAAGATCCCACTGTCAATCCTGAAATTATTAACTTATTCATAAGCTACGATGAAAATCGTGACGGTAAAATTGATCCAAAGGAATTTGTGCAAATTGCACATCGCATGTTTGGCAGACAGGTAAGCTTAGAAGAGCTGTACTATATAAAAGAATGTTAAAACTTTTAAGGGAATTTTTCTTTGATYCATTATTTGTCCATTTTGAGAGATGTGAGAATTTAATATTTTTTTAAACATTTTATCCTATTTTGTTGTGTGCAGATTACTATATATTTCGTTGAGATTTTATAATAATAGTTAATAATTAACTTACAGTGCCAATATAATATACCTCAACCGAATTATTTCAGGAATGTGTACACTTGAAAAAGTGATGACGCACAAAACAAAACGAGAAACATTAATGTACAAATGTCATATTTTCATTTATTTTTATTCTTTTTAGCAATKAAATTTGCCATCRTGGAAATATTTTCACTTTGCCCTGCAAACACTTCCTGCAATGGCATGTATTAGCGAATGTCATTGAAGTCAATTGGCTTCAGCAAAACAGGAAAATTGTAATGAAAAATACTGTAAATTGTTTTTATGTATTTATGTAGCAGAAGTCAATTACTAGTAGTTTTGGAGAACTGCCAATTAAAGAAAAATGGGACCAAAGTGGTGAAAAGATTACAATGAAAGCATCATTTAAACCTCTTGTTCTGTCAACCATGACAAAGTTCTCTCATGCTACATATCCTGTAAGTATTCACGTTTTATTAGTTTTTTTGTTTAGTGATTATAAACAAAGCCAGGTGCTTTRGGAGCAGTGAGATMTTTTCTATGCTCAGCRTACCTTCTTCTTGTTTCAATGYTTTGTTTATGGTCAATGATCTTGAGTACAAGATATCTTGAATTATAGAAAATGTTTTTAGATCAGTAAATGATATCTCCAGTAAATAATGAAGTTATTGCAGGCTATTTTTAATGAAAGTTAAGTAATAATCGCGTAAACGCATGTTTCCGAGGCCATCAGACCATTAAAGAATCAGGGCCGTATCCAGGGTGGGGTCACAGGGTGCCAGTGACCTCCCTCTTTCAAAGCCAAAAAGCATAGATTGATATGACATCATATTGAYGTCATATGACGACGTAGTCACAATTTTGGTATGCATGGACCCCCCCTCAATGAAAATCTGTGATATGCCCCTGAGAAATAAGCCATAAACTACCGGCCATGGCATCAATGTAGGAAAAGTCCTCTTGTTCAATGTCACTGATCTATAATATGCAATCAATTTTTTATTACCAGGGGTTTGATCAGCCTTTAGAGATGCTCAAGTCTTGGAGACAAGCATCTAAACCAACATTAATTTTACCTGTCTCTGCTTTCTCCATATTCCTCCCTSCAGAGAACACAAAACTTGGGGAATCGTGGTACGTCATATCTCCAGAAACACATAAGTATGGTAAGAACTTATAACAACTTATGGTACAAAATGGATTGTTAAGATTCGAGCTGATAACTAATTATAATTCCAAATATAATTTGTCATCAAAAACAAATGGACAGGACTGCAATTAAAAAGCTGTGTAAATCTTTAAATATTTCTAGATCCATCTCTACCAAGCCTTCGCTATGTTCCCACTCCTGTTCACGGYAATGCAGTTCTCATACACTACCTCTTATCAATGTTTCATCCAAGACCTTTTACGATGACACGTCTCACACCACAAGGAACAGCAGCCTGTATAGAGGCATTTAATGAAAAATTCTTAAAAATAGCATTCAGGTATGAGTATATTATATAGCTTATAGTTGTGTTATGTTGTCATGTTATCGTCATGACAATATGTCAGGCATGAATACATTAAGGTTGACTTAGACGGCAAAATGTCTGGTTTACCGTCTGACTTAGACGGCAAAGCGTCTAGTTTACTGTCTGACTTAGACGGCAAAGTTTCTAATTTACTGTCTTTGACTTAAAGCGACAATAATGTCTTGTTATGTTATTGACTTACACGGCAATAAAGTCTGCTTAACTGATAGTCTAAGATAGCTAAAATGTCTGGTATATTGATAGCTGTAAGATAGCAGTAATGTCTGGTAAACTGCGATTGAAAAATAGCAAGAATGTCTGATTAACTGATTGACTAATTTATTCATGCTTGAGACAATATTGTTGTACATTAACTGAAGGCATATAACCACTTCTTGGAGGGGAAGGATTATTAACTTTCAGASAAAATTCAGAGTTGACCATTCCCATAAGCTCCTTTCATTATAATATAATTGACAATGCTCATTCTTGTGTCCAGATCTATTTGTTCATTTATTTTTCACTTAATATTCAATCTTGAAATATTTTTGTKTACAGAATCCATGCAGAATTCCAAATAAATGAACCACCWYTGATGCCATTCTGGTTYTCTCCTGCTCAGTTTGCAGGAACCATTGTCATCAGTAGAGATGGAAAACATGTGCATTCATTCAACATGGCTGTACCAAACAACAGAAGTTTGAATGTTGGTAATGATTGCTAATGAAGTCATTTTTTTAGTGCCACCTTTAACTTAAAGAGATAAATGGCTTGTAATGACTTTAAGCCATGCCAATCGGCAAACTACACAAAATGGCTGCAAAAGAGGTTACAGATAATTCTGTACTTTAATAATTGTTTGCTACTCTACATCCTAGACATGGAGTGGTTAATGAAAGCAGAAAAACCAGAGAAGAGTCAAGAGAATGAAATTAAGCAAGACAAAACAGGTATGTATAATTATGTATGTTTGTCGGTGTTTGTTAGTATAATTATATTTTTGGATCCATGCGGTGTTTTATTTTCCTATCTAATGAAATTAAATGTTTCAGTGAGAATAACAATGTTGTTCACTTTCAGATGAGACAAATGAAAATGATGAGCATGATGACTCTGTAACAATGGAAGTTGATATAGGTATGTTTAAAAAAACGTTTTCTAAAAGATATACGTTTCTCTGCTCTTAGAGTTGTTCATGTACAAACAAACTGATTTACAGCTGAAGCAGATATCCTCTATTATATTAGACATCTTTAAATATGTAGTGTCTTTTGCCAAACTAATTTAATAATATAATCTGCAATGGAGGTGATGTACCAGAATGGACAAATAATAAGATTAAAGTCATTGCAGTGATTACAGAAATTGGACTTTGTTTTGTTTTGGCCAATTAAGTGTCATGTATCTCATGTTAAGTCTTGTCCATCAAGAAAATTTGCTTTAACCTGTCCATCTTATAATGCTTTAAATTTAGGGTATGTTCCTCAAATGGAGATTAATAGCAATGGTCCATCATGCATCAGGAGTGATGATGACAATACAGAATGTCCYTCAACRTCAACGGACAACATTGCCTGGGAATCAGAACTTAAACACCAACATGCAGAACAAATTTTAATGAAATTCTTTTACCCTTTCCAGAAGGTAAAACCTTAAATGCTATCTGACAGGAGAGCAGTGAAATCATTCAAAGCTTTTTCAACTCATTGTTCTGCCTTTTAGGCATAATCCTAACTTTCTTTGCACTTTCTTTGCACTTGGAGTACGAGTTTTCAATTCAAGCACTTTTCAAGGATTTAAGGACCTGCAAAGACCCTGTAATACACTCTATTATTGATTCATGCATTGATAACTTATAAGCCAATTTGCCTTCAATTTATATAGGTACCATACCTTCCTTTTAAAGAAGCTTTCAAGAAATCAAAAGAGCTAAACAAACCAGTACACCATATCTTACTATGGGGTGCACTAGATGACCAGTCCTGCTGAGGTACTGAGAATCACTAAATGTTTAAATTAACTCAAACATACATATGGCCTCTGGAAAACCAACAGATGCATCTGATTTATTGCTAGAGCTTCCATAGAACTCGGTATAGTTTGTTATTATTATCAACAATAATCTATTAATTCTATTATTTGTAGGTTCAGGGCGGACGCTCCGAGATGGCCCCTTGGAGAACCGCCGTATTCTTAACCTTCTACAGGACAAGTTTATTAGCTGTTGGTCGCTGATTGATGAGTTGAAAGTTAGTATTGATTGACTTAACTACATGTACAAGATTAATTATTTATGATTATAATAATGTATGATTATAATGTTATATTGACCAGCTTTCTGTCCTTTTGTACATGTTTGCTGAATATTACTAAATATTACTAAATGTAAACTACGCTGTACTTTTAGAATTTTTCCAAAAGCAAGGATGAGGATGAGACAGCTAAACTTGCACAGTTGTCATTAGATGGTTACAGGTTAGTGTCTGCTTGGGTTAACTAAATGCAAATACAACCATATGTGTTAAACAATGAATCTCATTTAAAAAGAAACAATTCAATTATATATTTAGCTTTTCAACTATTTTTCATCTTTGAGGAAATTTAGAAGTTATGTTGAAAAATTAACATGATTGCTTTCAGATTTCCAGTAGAGTCCATGGTGCAATTGCCCAATGGTACTCTAGTCCAGAGAAGAAATGCTAAYGACTTACTGGACACAGAAGAAGAGGGTGAAAAACAGTTGTAAGTTTTTTAAATTATGTGACTGTACATTAGTTAGTATTTATTATCATTGCAGTGTTGTTAAATATGTAACTGTCTAAATGACTGATTTGATTAAATTTCTTTTTTTTTTCACAGAGCTTCTTCAGATTTTGACGACATCATAAGTTTAAAATACTACAAGTTTTTAGAAAAATCACTAGAAATCATAAAAAAACAATAACTCATACAAATAATTTTTGTAGATTAATGTTCTTTCACATAAAACTAATTTATATAATTACGATAAATTATTTAATATTTAAGAACAAATTTTTATTATTAAATAAAAATAGCGTAATATCAGTAAGATAAATATTAACAATAAATTAATAGACTGCAATGCAAAAGAATACAAAGAATACTATGGCCAGCTTATCCCATTACAAATAACTTCAAAAATAAATTCAAGTACAAGATCCCCGCTGGAAGACTAAAATAATTTTATATTAGAAAAGTTATGACTTCTGAAGGCACAATTATACTGTGATCTGTTATTTCAAACGTTTCGCCTTTGACATTTATGTATGTGCCTATCAGAAGTCATAACATTTCTAATATATCCACATCCMAGGCATGGCTACACATATATTCTCAAAATAATTTTCTATGATGTTTTCTACAAACAGTATAACTTCAGCACAAAACATACTTTGTATAAGGTATATAACATTACTTGAAGAATGTTATATTTGTCAGGCTTATGGAGACAGGCTAACTCAAAACTCAAAACAAACTCAAAAAAAAAAAATAATAATAATAATAATTATAATAATATCCTGACAACAACAGGACATTTGAGTGAATAATTCTATGCCTAGGGTTACATTTGTATATTGTTTAATATAAACAGGAAAGAAAGCAAAATGCAACTGTAGGTAATATCAAGAGATATGTGTTCAAAGGGCCATGAACATTCCAATTCTCACTGCATTGACGATACTAAAATGAAGTCAGATCATTTTATGATGGCTATTTTCTAAAGTACATTAAGTACAGGGATAGCTTGATGCAARGTTAATGACTGATACCCTGCATTCATGCATTGATATAATTGCATTATAGGCTTGCATTGCATGAGCAATGCAAGTATTTTCTGAACACATTTTGCAATAAAATCCTACCAAAAGTCCCCTTCAAGAAGTAATTAAGCCAATGTTGCTCTTCTAGATAAGGGCATTATTTTTTATTCAATAAAAATATTACTCTTATATGACTGCTTGTTATTTGTATTGCTTGAAATTTTCCAAAAATCAACTTTTTTGAATTTATTCTGAAAATTGTAATTCCCTGAAGACAAAGGTATCTTTCATAATAACTTGTAGATTTCTCGCGTGATGATTGGTCGAGAGCTATTGTCACTGAGAGTTTAGACAATGGCAATGACGCATACAGCAGTCACACTTGTCATGCAAAATGATTTACAAGTGAGACTACGCAGAATTCTGCAAAATAAACAATGATTTGAATGGAGAAAATCGCTTACGCTTGTGGTTCCACTTGATATGAGTTTTAAGCATTTTGACGTCGATTTCATTGTCAATAAGAGTACAAACAATGGAAAACTGCCTGCAAATTGTCAAATTATGAACTGTCTGTCTGTCTACCTTATCTTGGGGATCAGTGCTTGGAATTAATCAAACAGAATTTTCATCAGTGTATTGGATTATGCATAATCATAGCATCTCCAAAGGTGTTCCATATCTTATAGTCAGCTGTCATGCACTCAACACCTGGAAAAACAGCACAAACAATAAACTAATACTAAGTAAAACCAGCAATACAGTCTCAAGTTTACAGGAAAGTGAGTGAGTGAGTGACAGATTAGTCCATCTTAGATTGTTTACTCTTAAAGTTGAAAAGAAACAACAAACATTTCCCAAAGCAAAATGCTCTTTTTTTTCAATGAAGTTGTCTTCAAATTGGTATTTAATAACCACATGTGTCTGACTAAGCCATAGACTTCCTAGCCTCCTTCCTAGCCTCCCATTTTGTTGGGCTTCCTGTTCTTTTTAAAGGGACAGGAAGCCTGTCAAAAGGGGAGGCTGCGAAGGAGACATCCCTACAGGCTTTTTTCTATTTTCTCATTCCTCTTACATGTACTACTATTGGGCTTCATGTCGTTTTCATGATTGACAGACTTATACCAAAGGGATCCCAAAATAGAAAAATTGAAAGATTGCTGTAGAGTTGACAACTTGACCTAGTGAAATGTGCACATATTAGATATTTCATATACTCAACTTACTTGTATTTAATTTAGATATCTTGGTGTTTGGATAAATGTTTAGAGATCGTGAATCAATATTACAACCAGTGAGGGTAAARTCTGTCATTTTGAAATATACCTGAAAAAAAATCAATAACCATGACGAACAATAATTGAAAACAGGAGTGAGCAAAGCATTTCTAATAATAATTTAATTTTTATTACCTGTGCATAGCTATTAAGGCCTTGACAAAATGGGTCTTCTGTGAGAGTCTGCTGTCCAGTTTTTATAGAATCAATACTGTCAAAAAACACTGTACCAGAGAATGTGACCTGCAAAGATTTTGGGAATTTCTGACCTAATGCCAGAGATATAAATACATCAATACTTGCTCAGACATGTTTCATTATTTGATAGTTTCCTAAATGGTTTCTTAAGACAATTATTATCATAAAAGCAATTATAAGGTTAGCACTTSTTTACCTATATTCAAAGCCAGCATTCTTTTCCCAGATACAACCATTAAACTGCCATGAGATGGMCCACTAGACTCCACTTTAACAATAACACCCCTAAGTTATCAATAATTTATCAATCAATAATATGATTTTTTCAAAAAGCAATGGATATCAAGATTATTCTGATGTAGTTACCTGTTATAGAATGGAAGATGAACTTCACAAAATTCAAAAGAATTTTTAACYCTTGCATTGAGTTTGAGCTGTAATATGATTTGCACAGCTCTGTCGTCACCCTTGGAAAATAATGGATAAGACAATGATAACTTAATATTGAGCTTAAATACGTCTACTAATGAAAGGTTGAAATATCAAAGTATTGTAATGAGAGACAATATGTATCTAAATTGCCTACTTTTATCTTTATTCTACCTTCATCTGATAAATGCCCTCAATAGGTAAACYGTTTGGCAGTTGTGATGAATAGTGACATAACGTGAACACTTCTGCTGGTGGACGAAATCTTATCCTTCTGCCTACCGACCCTGGAGGGGTGACATCTTGGTTTGGTGCCATGTCTTGAGTGTGTGTGTTGCCCTCTCGTACGCTGGGATGGACAATAAGGTATTCCAGTGAAGGTGATGTTATGTTTACTGTGATTTCTGGTATGCCATCCAAATCTGCCTGTTTTAGCATAAATAGACATTTTCTTCCATTAGATGGGTGATTGACTGTCTGTCTGATTGATTGATTGATTGATTAATTGATTGATTGATTGTCTGATTGACTGATTGATAACAGGTAACACAAATATAAGTAGAAATCTAGTTACTTTACAAACAATGGTCCCAAACAACTGAAACACATCTTTTGTACTATCAGCTTGGTGTTGTGCGGCCTTAATTTCTTCCTTGATTGCAAATACAAGTTGTTGTTTGCCCTTGTGATTAAAGGGTTTCCATGCCGGTTGCTGCAAAAAGAAAACAACAAATTAAACGAGGCTTTCTTGATCATTACTGWCCCAAATAAATACTGTACTTTATAACACATTTTTGTACTAGTATTTTTAAATTTTGTCAAACAAGTTAGGACAACAAGAGATTTCGACGTTTCGACGCCATCRCGCGTCATTTTCAGGAATAATTTATTAGATCGATCACTACAGTTTTTATATGTTATATGAATATATTACATGTCTCTTATATRTATTCATATAACATATAAAAACTGTAGTGATCGATCTAATAAATTATTCTTGAAAATGAGGCGCAATGGCGTCGAAACGTCGAAATCTCTTGTTGTCCTAACTTTTTTAACAAAACTTATTAATTAAGCACAAACAACTAATTTGTATTTTTAAATGTTTGTATTAAATATTATTAGATATATTTAAAGTAATAAAGTTACTTATCTTACCCTTCTTATTTGTGGATTTAAGACTTCTTTCCCTGAAATGAGTGCCTGTACAGTGCTGGGGTTAGYGTCTACTGGGGTACCAAAAGGCACAGCTACACCAAGAAATGTTTGTAAATCTTTTACCTTGGAAATAAGCTAAAAACAAGTATTAATTATAATGGTGAACTTCATATAAACAATATAAAGATATTTCCTTGACTGTTGAAACAGTTTTGTTAGAGTCATTCAAAGCCATATTCTTGTATAGGGATCCCAAAACAGAAAAAGGCTGTTTTGGGATCCCTATACAAGAATATGGCTTTGAATGACTCTAACAAAACTGTAACTATAACTTAATCAACCATCGGGATTTTATAGACAACATGATTAACATTAAGTGCACCTCATTAGGAGAAGACCATGCCCCTATGAACTCAGCTAATGAATGAAGCAGCTTGTAACCAATGGTAACACCAGGCCTGTCGTAATAAAGTTAAATATGAAGCAATATGCTGATGACTTGGCTTGGTATCTATTCAATACTTACAATTCAATGAGAGGAACTTTTCCATTGGATAAATCTTGCTCAACTAGTGGCAGACATGAAAAGATCAATCCAAACTGTAATATTAAATRCAAATAAAATCTACATCAAATAATGATGAAAACATTTCCAAAGACACTGTATGTAAGTCACTGAGATTAAATTTGGACAAAATATATCCTTCCTGTCTGTTTGAGTCAGTATAGAAAGCTCAACACCAAGAAGTGCTATGAAGAAGACTATGATACAATCTCTATAAGCTTAAGAGATTGTCATGTATATATAATGCAAAGAGCTTAGCTCAATACCTTTTCAATAGCAACTATGGGCCATAGGCTAGAACCATCATTCAGTGGGATTTCATAGACTGGTTTTGATTGGACAATGCAGCAGCTGTCACTCATAGGATGAAACTAAAGTAGATAACTACATTACCACCTTAATTGACAATAGTCATCAAAGTGCAATGGATTCAATTATTGATGATAATACAATTCATAGGAACACTTTGAGGTGAACACAGTACAAGTTTTATGGAAATCAGCTTATGAAACATCATAATCACTTAGCCTGCATTAACAGACAGACAGACATAAGATGTCATGGTGTGCTTTGTACCAACTAGATAAATTGGCGTTGTCAAAATAATGACAATGATTACAGTAAATCTGTTAGTTTTCTTTGCTTTCTG